GGGTTGGGTTGGGATGGGTTGGGTTGGGTTGGGTTGGGCTGGTTTGGGTTAGTTTAGGTTGAGTTGGTTGATTTAGGTTGGCTTGGTTTGGGTTGGTTGATGTGGGTTGGGTTGGGTTGATGCTGGGTTGGGTTGGGTTGTTTGGTTTGGGTTGGGTTGGGATGGGTTGATGCTCGGTTGGGTTGGGTTGGGATGGGTTGGGTTGGTTTGTGATGGGTTGGTTTGGGTTGGTTGGTTTGGGTTGGGTTGGGTTGATGCTGGGTTGGGTTGGGTTGTTTGGTTTGGGTTGGGTTGGGATGGGTTGATGCTCGGTTGGGTTGGGTTGGGATGGGTTGGGTTGGTTTGTGATGGGTTGGTTTGGGTTGGTTGGTTTGGGTTGGGTTGGGATGGGTTGGGTTGATGCTTGGTTTCGGGGTGGAACAGAGACCTATATAGCACATTGGAGAAGTCTGTGGACCCCAGTTGGAGACATCAGACAGGAGGTTCCTGGAGATTCTGCAAGAGTACCAGCCAGAGACAGACAAGGGTCGTGAGCGGAATGATTTCTGAACCTGTCAACAGCGATGCAGCCGTGAGCACCTTCAAGTTCTTGCCGTTGCCCTGTCCAATGCTTTTGTAAGGACCACTAGCTCTGAGCATGTGCTGTCATTATCCCACACAGAGATGAGGAAACAGTGAGGAGTCACGGGGATAGGACCTTCCTAGGGGACCAGCTACCAGCTGAGTCTCTGCTGAGTCATCAGCAATGCTGCAACCATCGGACTTCCCTAGCCAGCTCTCAAACCCTTTCTACTACTGAACAGATGATTCCTCCTTCATTGCCGAGCCCCTGACGGCACACGTGGCTGCTGTGATGAAGCCCACTCTGCATTTTTTACACTAAACGAAACATGGTCCAAGCCAAGTGGGACCAACGTGAGTGCATCTCACAGATGCGGTGGTCCTGGCTGGCCTGAGAGCTGGCCATCTAATCAGGCCTGTGTACCAGGTTCTGTGTCAGGACCGCCAGCCTAGAAAGAGCCAGCACCTGGCCGTGCTCTCAGTCGCTCTCTTCCAGTCGTAAAGGAAACATACCCCCACAGTAAAAATGATAAACAGATGTAGAGATGTGCATGCAGAGGGGCAGAGACAGACAAACGATTCATTGAACAAAAGCTGAGCCCGCATGCCAGGCACCGCTCAGGGACTGGGCGCAGGTGCCCTGCAGGCCAGGTGGGTCGCCCGGGCGCACGGTGTGATGTGGCCCATGGCGCTCCTTCTCCAGCGCTTCTCCCTCGGAGACACCACAGCCTGTGAATCTCCAACATGGGCTCCTCTCCTGGTCCAGGGTCTGCAGGGTCTACTCCAGTCTGGCCTGGCCCTCCTGCCTTCGCGCTCTGCACCCTTTCTCTGGCCGCCCCATCCCCTCTGGGTTTGGACACGTAGACATTAGTGGCTCCCCTCTGACCTGCACGCTCACCTGCTCACCCTTGGTTCCAGGGAAGCCCACAGTCCAGCTGCCTTCCATGCCTCACTGCCACACCCACAGCCTGCTTCCCTCCCCACATCATGTCCCAGGAATCGTAGCCCTATCATTCTACCTCCAAAGGAGTATTTTCAAGTGACAATGTTCTCCATCCTCACTGCACTCCCGGCTGTCTGGCAACCATGTCAGCTAAAACATCTCTGGTATTTAAAAGGCTAGCCCATCCAGTCACCCTCTCACCTCACACACTCCATTATGCTTAGAAAAACAACCCACAGGGTCTGCGTCTTATCCCTCTACCCCATGACCACATAACCTTGGGGGAGGGGGAGGCTGTATGGCTGGGACCAGGGGCTTGGCAGTGCAAACAAGTGGCTGAAAGGACAAGAATAGACTTGTGCATATATGGCTGCGGACGGGGATGGGGCAGAGAGAGGCTTCCAGAGAAGTCCCAAGGTCTTAGCTTTAGAATGTGGCTGAGTGATAGTCCCATTTTCAGAGACAGAAGAGGCTAGAGGCAACCAGCTTGAGGTGCATTAAGCTGGGGATTGCTATGACAAGTCCTGCAAGTCTGTGACCAGAGAACTAAGTAACCTTGAGAGGCATCTCTGTCTGGAGGGCCTGGACTTCAACAAAAGTCATGAGGCGGGGAGGTCCCAGAAGCAGGAGTGGAGGAGGTGGGGTACACAACCCCACAGAACCAATCAGGTAGCAGAGTAGCCAGGCATGGCTCCAAAGTGACAGACAGAACTAATGATCACTCTCTTCCGGCAACATACACCAGTAGGCAGCATTCTCCCTCCCGCAGCATACTCCCTCCCTCAGCATACTCCCTCCCGCAGCATACCCCCACCCGCAGCATACTCCCTCCCGCAGCATACTCCCTCCCGCAGGATACTCCCTCCCGCAGCAAACTCCCTCCCGCAGCAAACTCCCTCCCCCAGCATACTCCCTCCCGCAGCATACCCCCACCCGCAGCATACTCCCTCCCGCAGAATACTCCCTTTCTTAGTGGGGAGACCAATGTGGGGGCCAAGGGCTGCCCTCCTGCCTGACTGTTGGCTGTAGTTGCCCTTTGATGCCTGAAGCCTCCAAGGAGCACTAGGCCCAGATATAACAGTGTGGAGCCACAGGATGCAGTCTCCAGTCTTCTCACCAAGGGCAGCCCTGGCTCCCTGGCTTGGAGCAGCTGCCTCCTCAGGTGTCAGCCTCCTGCTGGAGGCCCACTGTGCAGATAAAGGCCTGTCCTGCTCTGAGCCCCACCCCATTCCTTCCAGAGGAGGAGACCTCCAGGATGTGAGCTAGTCTTCCTATGAGTGATGCTGCCAGAGGGGACTGGAAAGGGCAGCCCCTAGACAACCCCACAGGGTCCTCTTTCCAGGGGGCAGCTCCTCTGTGGAACACAGGTTAGAAATTCTTTAGCTGAGATGGTTGAAGGCCAGCCCCTCCCCGGATACAGTGCGCAGCTAGCAGAGCGAGTTGCTCTCCCAGAGCCTCATGAGTGAGGCAGGGGAAGCGAGTGCACTGAATCCAAATGTGCCCGCCTGGCTCCCCTGCCCCAGCGGCCATTGGGAAAGAGGCAACACCTCTCTGTGAATGGGCTCCGGCAAAATACCTTCGGGAAGTTGGCAGCTTTTGTCTTCCAACCCACTGAAGTGGCAGTTACACCCCTCCATCGCCCCCCCACCCCCCACCCCACCCCGCAAAGGCCATCAGCAGGGAACAGACGAAATCCAGAGGGAAGCTACTGAGCAGATTTAGCGGCCAAGGCCACCGCTCGCGCACCCTTACAGGCAGTGGAGGCCCTGGTTTGGGAAGACTCCCTGTGGACACCAAGCCCCACTGTATCAGGGAAGAACGGGAATGGACAAATGCAAGGTCATCTTGTCCACACCCACAGTGATAAAAATTATATGACATTGGTGTAATAGAAGGTATGAGACATAGAGATGCATTTTGAAGGAAAAAGGACGTAATTCTAAAGATGGTTATTTCTGAAAGTTGTAAGATTTGTAAAGAGAAATATTCAAAGGAAGTTATATAAATGACACAGGTCAGCAAGCCAGGACAAGCACGATAGGGAAACTGAGATGATTAAACAGCAGTTTGTCCTAATACATTCTGCTTCTTCTTGAAGCTATAAAGCTCCTGATGGTCCTACAGGTGGAACCACAAATGCAAGCAACCTTCTTCCGTGGACCCTTAGATCACCCACCTCCGATGCAACCCTGACAGCTGCTTCCAA